CTTCAGGAAAATCTAGATTGCAACATCACCCCCTAGGGCAGGATTTCTCAAACTCAACACTATCGATATCTGGGGCAGGATCACTTTCTGCTGTGGAGGAGAGGGGCTGCCCTGTGCATCATAGAATGTTTATCAGTGTCACTGAATTCTATCCACTAAATGCCAGTAGCACCTCCTCACCAGCTGTGACAACCAGAAATGTATCCAGATATTTCCAAATGTCCCCTGAGGTGCAAAATTGCCCCATTGAGAACCATTGGTCTAGAGAGAAAATGATTGCATAAGCAACTAAATAGATGAATATACATTTATACTGTTTTATATATTACATGTAAAATTTTATTTTCTTTATGGAGTAAATATAATTGGTCTATAGCTTTCTTTAAAGTTTACATTCTTCTCCCTGTTAGAATAATCCTGCTGATTCCTAAATATATATATTTTAAATAATTGTTTTATTCCTCAATTACAGTTGACATACAGTATTATATTAGTTTCAGGTGTACAACATAGTGATTAGACATTTATATAACTTACAAAGTGATCACCTGTTAAGTCTAGTACCGATCCGACACCATACATAGGTATTACAATATTATTGACTATATTCCTTATGCTGTACCTTACATTCCCATGACTATTTTGTGACTATCAATTTGTACTTCTTAATCCCTTCTTTTTTTCACCCACCCCCCACCCCCTCCCAGCTGGTAACTATCAAAATGTTCTCTGTGTCTATGAGCCTGCTTCTGTTTTGCTTATTTTGTTCTTTAGGTTCCACATATAAGTAAAATCATATGGCATTTATCTTTCCCTGTCTGACGTACTCCACTCATCACAGTACCCTCTAGGTCCATCCATGTTGTTGCAGATGGCAAGATTTCATTCTTTTTTATGGCTGAGTAATATTCGATTTTATGTATATACCACCTCTTCTTTGTCTATTCACCCATTGATGGAAACCCCGGTTGCCTCCATTTCTTGGCTATTGTAAATAATGCTGCAATGGACATATGGACACACATGACCCTTTGAAGTATTGCTTTGAGTTTCCTCGGATAAATACCCAAAATGAGATTACTGGGTCCTGCTTTGTCTCTTGTTATAGACTTTGTTTTAAAGTCTATTGTGTCTAGAGTAAGGATTGCTACCTCAGTTTTTTCTTTTTTTCATTTCCATTTTCACAAAATATTTTTTTTCCATCCACTTACTTTCAGTCTGTGTGTGTCTCTCAATCTGAAGTGAGTCTTTTGTGGGCAGCATATGTAAGGGTTTTGTTTTCTTATCCATTCAGCCCCCATATCTTTTGATTGGAGCATCTAATCCACTTACATTTAAATTAATTATTGATAGATATGTAGTCATTTCCATTTTATTTTTCACATTTTTATATATTTTTTTCTTTTTCTTCTTAAAGAAGTCCCTCTAACATTTTGTATAATACTGGTTTGGTGTTGGTGAACTCCTTTAGCTTTTTCTTGTCTGGGGAGCTCTTTACCTGTCCTTCGATTCTAAATGATAGCTTTGCTGGGTAGTGGAATCTTGGTTCTAAGTCCTTTCATTTCTTCACTTTGAATATTTTGTGCCAACCTCTTCTGGCCTGCAAAGTTTCTGTTGAGAAATCAACTGACAGTCTTATGGGTGCTCCCTTGCTGCTTTTAAGATTCTCTTTTTGTCTTCAACCTTGGGTTCATCTTGTTTGGGACTCTCTGTGTTTTCTGGGCTTGTATATCTATATCCTTCATCAGGTTAAGGAAGATTTCTGTCATTCTCTCATTCCCTGTCATTAAAAGAGAGGGATTTTCAGCTCTCTCTTTTCTCCTTCTGGTACCCCAATGATAAGAATGTTGGTACACTTGATGTTGTCCCAGGGGCCCTTTAAACTGTCCTGAATTTTTGGATTCATTTTCCTTTTTGCTGTTCTGATTGGGTGTTTTCTCTTACCTTATCTTCTAAACTGCTGATTTGAAATTAGATGAAACAGAGGTTTCATCTAATCTACTGTTGAGTCCCTTTAATGTATTCTTCATTTCAATTATTGTATTCTTCATTTCTGACTGGTTCTTTTTTATGTTTTCTATCTCCATTTTTATGTTTCCTATCTCTTTGTTGAAGTTCTCTGTGAGATCATTGAGCATCCTTATAACCAGTGTTTTGATCTCTGGGTCTGGTAGATTGCTTGTCTCTATTTTGCTTAGTTATTTTTATGGAGCTTTGTTCTGTTCTTTCATTTGGGACGTGTTTCTTTGTTTCTCCATTTTGACTGCCTCTCTGAGTTTTTTTTTCTCTGTATTAAGTAGAGCTGCTATGTCTCCCAGTCTTAGCAGAGTGGCTTTATGTAGTAGATGTTCTTTGGGGCCCAGTGGTGCAGTCTTCCTGGTCACCTGAGCCAGGTGCTCCAGATGTGTCTCTTGTGTGGGTTGTGTGTGCTGTCCAGTTGTAGTTGAGCCTTGGTTGCTGTTTGCACATCAATGGGAGGGATTGACCCTCATCTGGTTGGTTGTGAGGACTGGCCGTGACTACAGGGGAGGAGCTATTGTGCATGAGCTGACCCTATGGAGCAGGATTTGCTTCAGTGGGGCTCTGATGCCTGCTCTGTCTGCTCCTTGGGTGTGTTGCCCATAGAGGCAGCTATGTGGGGCTCCAGCTCAGTCCAAATCTAGACACCACTGGGTGTGCCAGCCCTGGAGCTTCCTGTGAGGGGCCCTGCTGCAGGCCAAGTTCAGTCACAACCTGTGTTATACCCAGGGCCACCTGGCATAAGCCACAAAGCAATCCACAGATGGCGGCCACTCACACTGGGCTTTGAGGTGCCTTGGAGAGGTCAAGCCATGAACTGATGAACTGAGGCTGGCTGCCACTAGTGCTGGGCTTGGAGCTACTCAGCATTAGGTACAGGGCACGCTGAGGTCAGATGCTGCTTGTTTGGGTTTTGTGAACCTTTGAGAGATTTTAGGAAAGTCCGCAGCATGAGCCAAGTCAGACCATTTATACGGAAAAACCACTGGAAGCATCTTGGGTAGGTCCACAAGTTGGGTGGGGCTGGGTGTCAGGGAATCACTAGGGTGACACAAAGAGTGTTAGCCAGGTTGATGGAGACTCATATATGGCAGCCACCTGCATCTGCAGGTGGGAAGGGGGAGGGCTCACCAAAAATAATGGATTCTGCTAGCACTTTTGTCTGGGAGAGAGCTGCCCTCCCCCAGCCCTCATTCTTAAGCTAGACAATTCAGTTGTGCCCCATATGTCATTGGTGCCTTTTGAGCTGGTGCCGCAGTGCTGAAGCTCAGAGTGAGTGAGTTCATCAGCAAGTAAGTCCATGCATGGGCCCTTTAAGAGGAGTGCCTGGGACTCCAGCCACTCTCCATCTCACTCAGCCACACTCTCTGCTGGTTTTCACAGCCAGAAGTTGTGGGGACTTCCCTTCCCAGCACTGGAAATCTGGGCTGAGAATCCTGGTGTGGGGCTGGGACCCCTTGCTTCTCAGGGGGGGACCTCCACATCCAAGATATCCCTCCACATTTTTAACTGCCACACATGGGTTTGGGACTAGGCCATTCAGTGTCTCCACCTCTCCTACCAGGGTCAAGGTGGCTTTTTCTGTATGTCCTTAGCTGTAGGGCTTCGGTTCAGCTAGACTTTAGGTGATTCACAATGATGGTTGTTCTGTAATTTAGTTGTAATTTTGATGTGGTTGTGCAAGGATGCAAACACAGCGTTTACTTACTGTGTCCTGACTGGAAATCTTATGCATTTCAGTATTTTTAAAAAAGATTTTACTGGGGAATTGGGGAAGGGGAACAACCAAGTTGTTGTCCTTCAATCTTAGTTGTGGAGGGCACACCCCACCATCCCATGCGGGAGGCGAACCAGAAACCTTGTTGCTAAAAGTGCATGCTCTAACCACTGAGCCTTCCAGCCGCCCGTCGCCAGCTCAGGGAATCTCAGCTCAAGGTTCCATGTTCAATCTTAGTTGCGGGTGGGCATAGCCCACCATCCCATGTGGGAGTCGAATCAGCAACCTTGTTGTTAGGAGTACGTGCTCTCACCAGCTGAGGGCATCCTGCCACCTGTTGGCAGCTCAGCAGCAGCTCAGCTAGGATGCAGCTCACTGGCCCATATGGGAATTGAGGTGACCCTGTTGCTCAGAGCTCACACTCTTAACCAACTAACTGAGCCAGTCGGCCATCCGCATTTCAGTATTTTTTATCAGCCATCAAAAGTTGATGTCTCCTTGCCTTCCTGCGGGGGAACCACCTGGTAACATTTGACCAATCTTTCTGTGTTGTGCTCCATTGCATTGAGATCCATGTCATTTGCTCTTCCTGACAGCTTAAATAAGAATGTGCCTATTTTCGTGTGTACTATGGCCTATCCCACCGTTCCTTGTCCCCTGCATATATTTGAGCCTTGTTACCGTCTGATGATTCGTAGATGCATTGAGACAGGCACAAGACAGTTTGGCATGTGCCTTGGAGATCCCGTCAAAGGGTAAGTAAGGAACTATGTGAGTCAAGGGAAGCTGGGTGGAGAGGGTTTTTGTTTTACTTTGGGGCTCTCTCTGAAGATGAAGAGGCACAGCTCATGAGACTTAGCCAGCTCACGACATTGAGCATTTGTAAGAATCAGGGTCCCTCTGGTCCCTAGTTTATTATGTGAGAGGTAGCCTATAGAAAGAAACCCCAGGATTAACCTTTTGCTAAATGGGTGGTATATACTGTAAAACTTGTTTTATAAGTGTGTGGACCCTGGAGTCAAACTGTCTGGGTTCATATTCTGGCTCCAGCACTGGAGCAAGTTTGACTTTGGGCAAGTTACTTAACCTTTCTGTCACTCAGTTTTCTTATCTGTAAAGTGGGTACAATGAGAATGCCTACCTCATTGGGTTTGTTGAGAGAAATGGTGAGTTAACAATGCACACGAAACACTGAGCACAGTACCTAACACATAGTATGTGCTCAATAAATGGTAGCAGTTATACTAATACATTAAGTTGTGTTTTTTTTCCACGTAAGCACTGCCTGTTGTGTAGTGGTAGCTGTAGACCCTGGGGCAAGTAAATAGGCAGAATTCACCTCGAGGCACAGCATGGGGGTTACAGAAATAGCTGGGGACAAGGTCAGGGATAGAACTCATCAAGAATTCCCCCCCTTTTTTTACTCCATTTCCAATAAACAGTTTTGCAGAACATGGCTGCATCCTAGAGATCAGAAACGTTCAATTCTTTGCCGATGGCCGCTCAGTGGTTGACAGCATAGGCAAGAGGCGCTTCAAGGTCCTCCATCAGGGCCAGCGGGATGGTTACAACACAGCCGACATTGAATACATTGAAGACCAAAAGGTGAGGGTGGCCAGTGCCAAGAATCCCAAAGCCAGGCAATCCTTGTGACTTTGCTGATGGAGATACCTGCAAAGGGATTTCTCAGCACGTTTGGAGGCCTTGGGATTTCTCATCAAATTGGTGCAGCAACATTGAATGCTGCCCAACTGCTATCAGATTGCAGAATGGCAATGACAGCTCCCAGTATCCTGGCTCTCCCTGCTTAGTTGCTGAGTTATATTCATGCATAAGAAATGCCAAGCCAGACCAACCCTGGGGCGCCCATTCAGCTAGGAGTTAGGTCTCTGCCCGGGGTATCAAGGGATAGATCTGGAGTGGGTCTACATGTGTGTATTAAATTTATCAATTTATTTAGATTTTAAAACTTTTGAAATAATTGTAAATTCACAATGTGCATTTGTGTTTTTAAATGGGCATCCTGGCTAAAAGCCCTTCCCAATAATCCATTATCCCATGAGGCAGAAAGATAACATGTCCAGTTAATCCTTGGTTTTCTAAACCAATGGACAGAAGAAGAGGTAAATAATCCCATGTTCACTTATATTTACATTCACTACATAGTACACAATTAGTAAGTATTTGATCAATGGGAAAATTGTATTCAACTTGGAAGATAGAGTTATACACTGAGACACAGACACTCATGCCTCTCTTCCCAGTGAGCAATGAGAGAGCAGATGTAAAAAATGAAAAGGAGAGAGGCATAAACCATCATTACCATGCCTTCACTCAGGCCAGTTTGTATCTATGGTTTTTTATATGACTCGTTGTTTCAGCTAATTTACCCAGCTGAATCGTTCTCCTTTCTCCACCCTCACCAGTATTTATGCACTACCCATTATCTGCTTAAGGAGCCTACACATACCACACAAGAACAAGCTGGGTGGATAAGCCTTCCTGTAGGGAGATAGGATGGATGCTCAAAGAGAGTCAGGTGCCAACAGTGGCTCTAGGAGTGATGGAGAAGGTACAGAATGCTTCACTTCCACTTTGATACTTTCAGGTTCAAGGAGAGGATTGTGCGGAGCTCATGGGATTACATAACTGTGTCTATGAGCAAGCGTCATCGTGGTTTCATTCACTCAAATCATCTCTGAAGAATCGGATACTCAATCACTTTGGTCCAATGCCAGAGAAAGATGTGGATCCCCAGGTATATAAAAATGTCTCTTTGCCCCCAGCAAATGAGAGAGGCTGGGGTTTGTGATTAGATGGGTGCATGGTTGCCATCTAGCAAATCAGGTGCAGAGAACAATATGGAGCTAATATGGTATTGTTGGTGCGGGAAGTTGGCATCACGGGTAAGACCAAAAGGATCCCAGGTCAGAATTGGAGGAACTAAAGTACAGCAGTAGGAACTTGGATCCAAGACAGGTTTTGAGAGAGGAGTCAGGTGAGAAAAGGGAACACAGATACCAGGAGAACCTTCAGTGGGAGTCCAGATTCATACCATGGTAATGTGTTAGGGTGACAAGATTTACACAAAGTCCAGGCTAAAGAGAAGGGTATCCTGGGAGCTGAGACCAAAGGCTGCCTCTTTCAGGGAGTTTCATAACCCTCTCCCCCATTGCTGCAAGAGCTAGAAGATAGGGCCAGCTACCTTAAAGGATTCCAACTGCAAGACCACAGAAATATTTCACAGCCGAGTTCCTCTATACTTAGCCCTGCAGTTCTAGACCCTTGTCATTGTCCTAATCAGGGATCAGTGGGTCCTGAGAAAACTGACCCCATAGTTAAACTTACCGTTGGTTGAGTTATACTACAAAGCAGTTCACTGGGTTCTACTGGATCAGTCTATAGCCTGGGGAAACAGGTCCTTTTGAGAGATCAGGCTCCAGGAAAGTGGAGATAGTTAAGTTTCACCAAGCTTTGCTTGCCTGGTATAAATCAGAGAACACACTCTTACCAGGACAAGACTGGAGATATTTTAGTCAAATGTTTCCCCACCATCACTTTTCCCACATTTTGAGTTGGCTCTCCTATATCACCACTCCATAACTTTCTAGATTCTTTAGTTATAGTCATTTGTGACTCTGTCACAATAGTAAAATAGAATATGTATATTCTGACTTCCTTGCCAAAAGATTGCTCTTGCTTACCTTATCTAGCTGTGTGACCTTGGGTAAGTCCCTTCCCCTTTCTCCACTATTCTCCCATCTCTGAAATGAGGCAGGTAGGTAAAAGAGATATTCTATGAAGTCCCCTCTTCCTCTTGCATTCTGAGGCTGTAAAGAACCAGTCTGTTCCCTACTGGGCTGAAATGTCTTGCTTTCTCCAGACCACACAAAGGTGGCTCCTTCCCCCATACAAAGGCATTGTGAATGTTGAAAGGAGAAAGGCCAGTTAGTGCTTCCCAATGACCCAGCTCCTGGCTCTGGGCCATGGTGACTCAGGATTACAGCAGAGCTCTGAGCAAGCTCATGATCAAGCCTAATGTTCTCCTTCACCGTCTGGAAAGCATTCTGCCCCAGTCAGGCAAAAGATAGCAATCAGCAATGATAACAGCATCTTCTATAAGAGAAAACACAGATGCCATAGAGTGATTCATAAGGCTCACTTGAAATTTTGGGTTTCATTTCCTTTCTTATTAATGTTTTTATCATGTTGCTTTGGTAGCATCAGCAAAACAAATAAACAAGCAAGCAAGCAAACAACCCTCCTCTCCCCACCCCAGATTGCATCCAGTTTGATCCAGTCAATGCTGCAGCTCCAATGGTCCCATTAATAAGAGTGTTCTAAGCCTCAGGAGGAGGTGTCTTAGAAACAGCCACAAAGATTAACATCAGCTTAAATGTCTTTGTTAATGATTCTGGGAAAGAAAGTTTAGAATATGTCAATCTAATATTTAGAACTGCCAATAAGAGGGAGAGCATGTTACAGACTGCAGCGAGGGACAAAAATGAATACAAAGGAACCTAGAGACATAGAGAAGCAAAGAGAGCAATGAGGTTTGGGGGAGAATCAGGTGAACCAATTTGGAGGCAAATAATCCCACATGTCAGAGGTCTGACCAGGATGTGGTTCTCTATAGTTCTAAAACCAACCTTTGGAAAATTGTGGGCAGAAAACTCATTTGGGGCTTAGGAGGAAATAAGTCATCAATATCTAAAATGTGTGCCTGGGCAGCTGCTGTCAAACAGAATTTTGGTGAAGTGTTTGTGTGGGAGGGGAAAGCTCTTTATTAAAAGGAAACCTGTCCATATCATTGCAATGGTACGATTTCATTCTTTATAGCTGAGTAATACTCCATTGTGTAAATGTACCACAGTTTCTTAATCCAGTTGTCTACCGATGGGCATTTCGATTGTTTCCAAGTCTTGGCTATTGTAAACAGCGCTGCAGTAAACATAGGGGCGCATATATTTTTTCAAATTAGCGTCTTGGGTTTCTCTGGATAGATACCCAAGAGTGGAATTGCTGGGTCATACGGTAGTTCCATTTTCAGTTTTTTGAGGAACCTCCATACTGATTTCCATAATGGCTGCACCAATCTGCAGTCCCACCAACAGTGCAGCAGGGTTCCCTTTTCTCCACAGCCTCGCCAGCACTTGTTGTTTGTTGATTTGTTGATGATAGCCATTCTGACTGGAGTGAACTGGTATCTCATTGTGGTTTTTATTTGCATTTCCCTGATGATTAGTGAGGTTGAGCATTTTTTCATATGCTTGTTGGCCATCTGCATGTCCTCTTTAGAGAAATGTCTCTTCATATCCTCTGCCCAATAGATATGTATGATATGGGGCAGGGGAGGGGGAGTGGGGCAGCAGATTTGGGGAGGGGGTTGTCACTTTGAGGGGTAAAAAGTATAACTATTGCACTGTATTGTACAGCTGAAACTAATTTTAAAAAAATGTTTACTTCACAATAAAAAAAAAGGAAACCTGGGCACAGAATACATTTCTCATGTGAATGTGTTTTTGAATTGGAATTTTTGCCAAGTGGGATTGCTGGGCTTTGGGGTGAGAATCATAGGCTTGGTTTCAGGGGAAGAGCTACCTGTGGCCCTATATAGTGACACGGCATAAGTGGACTATATTGCCTTGAGCCAGAAGCAGGGAAATGGAGTTAAGAGACAAGCAAAGCCTAAGGGGTCATGGGAATTGAAGGCCCGCATGTCGTATGCATCAGTCAAAAGGATCTTAAATAGAATTTTAGAAGTGGAAGAGACTGAGTAGTGGATATTCCCACTCATGAAATCACACTGGATAGGAAGTATAGTGTATCTGTTAGGATGTCAGCAACTATCAAAAATAATTATCTTAATTAAACAAGATAGCAGGCATATATCCTCGAGGCCTAGGGCAGTTCTGTTCCATGAGATCATTCAGAGAGTCAGGTTCCTTCCTCACAAAGTTCTACTCTCGTTTAAATGTTGCCCTTCTCCTCCTGATTAAAGAAGGCTGATTATCACCATGTCCATATTCTAGCTACAGGAAAGGGAGAGAAAGAGGATGGTGGAGGGCACATGCCTTTTTCTCAAGGCATGACCCAAAAGTCACACATACCATTTCCCTTTACACCTCATTAGCCAGAACTTTGTCTCATGGCCTTACCTAGTGGCAAGGGAGGCTGAGAAATGTAGTCTTTTTCTGGGTGGCTATACGCCCAGCTAAGATAAGGGGAAATAGATACAGGGGCAATTAGTAGTCTGCCACCCACAGAAGCAGTTCCATCTGGGATGCTTACCTTGTGGCTTTGGAAACCTACAGACTGATATCACTTCCATGGGAAGAATAGGATGAACCCATTTTGTTTCTCTGTTGCAGATTAACCCAAATGGTCCAGCCTGGTGCTGGTGGACATTAGCAGTTCTTCCATTAGAAAGCCGAGCTCAGCTCCCGTTCCTAGCAATGAAGTCCTTAAAGGATAGACTGAATGGTATTCGGCGTGTCCTGGCCTTTATATCCCGAAACCAAAACTAGTTTGAGTGGATGACTGAAGAGGAAACTTCCACCCTCCCCACTGTCTACAGGAGTCATCGTGTAAATATATCTAGTTGCAATAACAACAGAAGGAAGTGTCAAACAGAGGCATTATTACCCTGCTGTTGATCACAGAGAGAAATGGAGTAGAAACACCAAAAGAATGTGACCTGTTTGAAACTTTCTGTCTCAAGATGCTTCTTGAATGCTGCACGACTACATGCACAGCAGAGGTATTCGAGAGCCCAGAAATTTTTTTTTTATTTTGGCATAAAATATTCTGAAAGTTTAATGTGGTTTTGCTTTAATTTTCTTTCATTGATGAATGACTGTGTGTTTGAAATGTGAAGCAAAGATTCTAATAATGTTACTGCATTATTTCACTTACTTGAGGCCTCATTCCAAATGGTTCAGGTTTTATATGGCATTGTGTAAAATAATGTTCATACTTCTTTCTGTTTTAATAATGTTCATACTTCCTTCTGTTTTAATAATTTATTTTTGCACTACTGTATCCTTTTTTTCTACATGTGTGTTTGTAACTATTCAAGTGTACATTACTGAAGTCAATTGCTTTATTTATTGATGTAGTTTAGCATGTACCTAGAGGGAAGTTACAATACTAGAAATGTGCCATTTTTGCTTTAACCATTTTTTACTACGTCCGATGCCAGTTCTTGAACCATTTTTGTATCAATCCAATTGGATGTCTAAAGGAACTTCAGAATCATGCTAAGATCATCTATCTTCACAGATTCTATTTACTTGTAGTTTCAATTCAACAATATAAAATACTTAAGAGATTTGGCATAGATTATGGAATAAGCCAGGGTAAAGTAAAATAATCCATTTTCTACGTGTTATACAGAGCAAGGCTGAAGGAATTCTTTTTCTGGAACAAATTGATAAATCAGAGGAGTGTCCTTTATTACAATCTATTATAGGCGGTTATTTCAGCAATCTAATTCTAAGTGTTTCTAATTTCTCCCCAGTGCAGTTAGGAATGAGATTTTTGGCAGGATATTTAACCCTTCATAAGAAATGGTTTTCAGTTTGGTACATACAGCGAGGCCGAGCTAGCCTCCTCTTCTCAGGGTTCTGAGGATCGCAGCCTGGCCAGCATCTGAGGAAACACTTGCTGAAGGACTGCTTGTTATGAAAACTATAAAGAAGCCAGTAGAAAAGGTAGAACACTTAAAAAAAACAATCTTTTTGGTTTTTTAATCTTTGTAAGAGAAACAGAAAATTAATCCATGATTAATTTTTATAATCCATGATTATCTAAACACTGCCTGTCCTCTAAGTTGCAAAGGGCCTAAGATTTCAATAGAGGGGAAGAATGATGGACAAGGAGATAAGAGTGAGCCCTGGTTTAGCTTGCTTAGAGTTAGTGTGATTCCTTTAGTGCCAGGCGAACATGAAAAATAGCATGAGTATGGGAGTGTTATAATGACAGAGTAAAAAGATTAGGGCAGGGAAACAGTAAATTGTGCCATTTGCAAATCGCCCCCCACACACACACACACCGCCCCATGATTCTGGACAGCTGCAGTGTGTTATTTACTCGCACCCTGACCACTCTGTTAAGGTGAGAGGTTAACGCCTCAAGTAATCAGTCTGACTTCTTCCATCACCACCTGTGGCCAGAAACAGAAAAGGCAGAATGAGATGATCCAGGCAACGTAAGAGAGATTAAGGTAAGCAGAAACCAAATGATCTTTTCTCCACTTTTGTAATGGACACCATGTTGTCAGCACATTATGTTATCAGGTTTGATGTTTGGAGCCAGACTGGGCCAATGAAGAAGGATAGGTGTGGTTACTGCACAAGCAAACTCTACAAGACTCAGGAAGCAGGAAATTAAAGGCTCCCCCCTCTGACTTAGTGCCCAGCCATGTGGTCATTACACATTCCTAGTACAATAGGTTCCTATTATCTAGTGTAAATGCAACCCAAAGAAGGGTCATAAACATCGCTGCTTGCCAGATGTGTTACTTTTGTGATCAAACTTTTTCTGAGCCCCAGTTTCCTCATCTAGCAAATGGTAGTGATAAATACAGCAGATAGTGTTGTTATGAACAGTAAATAAAATTATATATATATATATATATATATATATATATATATATACAGTGCCTAGCAAATAGGAGACAATAATAGCTGTGATTATATTATTCATAGTGATGGAATATCATTAGGGGCCAACATTGGTATAAAACGCTGACTTTACGCACAATACCCATTTTCAACTACTTTAAACTTGTCTGGGGAATCCACCCCACTGAGTCTCAGGCCATAACTTGATGCTTTACAGGTAATTCCTTTTGGAGTCAAGTCTGTTTGGGAAAGTGAAAAGACTGGAAAACAAATGAGGGTCTGAGATAAGAGAGAATTCTGTGCGATCAATTTTTTTCTGATTTCAATAGGGCTAAAAAGTAGTATTGTTAGCAGGTTTAGAATTTCTGATATAATGGAAGCTTTAAGTTCTAGCTTCCTTAGGATAACCAACTCATCACTTCCTGCTCTCCAAAATGTATTGAAAATCTTCCTCATGCCAGGGTGAGTGAACACATTTTACAATCTATGACATTTGTGCTTAGTTCGTGGTCTTTCTTTATGCTGCCCAAACAAAACTGTATTTTGAACTTACTATATACCAGGTACTGAGCCAGGTGATTTCACATACATGAGCTCTTTAAATCATTTACTCCTCGCATCAACCCTGTGCGATCACTTCTCATCCTCATCTTGTGGATGAGAAAGCTGAGGCTGCAATGCTAAATACTTCGCCTAAGTAACACAGTCAACCACTGAATAGCCAAGCCTGATTTTTAACCCATACTTTGCAGATTTTTAACATTTTAAGTAGTTTGTGTTACACATAATTTCCTTAAATGGGCATGGCAACCAAGTCACAAAAGCACCCCAAAAGCTCATAATGGGAAGTTGGAGGTTATGTAAAAGTAAATTGCCCAACACATATCTACTTAATCTAGATAGAAAGGGAAGTTTGATTTTTTGAAATAAAATTCCACATCATAGAATGCTTCATGTTTATAAATGAGAACCTAACTCCAGCAAATGTAGATCTTGGCAAGGCAGAATTGCACTTTACTCTCAGTAGCCTAGATGCACAAAATGGGTGGTTTTACAGCAAGCTTTTGTTTCAGTAGTGGTGAGAGGCAGGATGCAAAGCTAAGCCTTAGTGTTCTTTGGAATGTACTTGAATGGGGTAATCAGTTAGACGTGAATATTTTCAACGCTTGTAAATTGGTTTTGCAGAAAAGCTTGGGAATGAAGAGTATACAGAGAAAAAACATAAATCCAGAAGGACAAGACTTGGTAAATAGTGCCATTTAGTTGGTTTGTTTTGCTGTCTATCAGGACCCAGGGTGTGTGTGTGTGTGTGTGTGTGTGTGTGTCTGTCTGTCTGTCTCTCTCTCTCTCTCTCTCTCTCTCTCTCTCTCTCCATATGTGCACACGTATGTATATGTGTGTGTATATATATTAGGTACCAAGCAGATATTATGCCTTTCTACTTTGTACTGTACTACTGCTGCTAGCAAAAAACCAGCAAAATCTAGAAAATGAAAATGATAAAAACGAATTTTCTGTGGACAACTTGGAGAAAAGAGTGCTTGCCCCTGACTTAGGGAGCAAGGAACTGACTATTTCAACAATTTGCCTTTTCTGAAGGCTGACTGCTTCTAGCCTCACAGGGCTAGTTGAGTCACTGTGCATGTGACACTTCCATCTCTGCCTGTGGAGCTGGCCTGGGCTTAGATAATCCCCTGTGACTAGCCCTTGGATCAGTGGAGCTCCTGAGGCAGGCTCACAGCACCCAGAGGTCTCTTACTGTCAATAGATTGCACACTGTTGATGGACTGGAATCCATTGTGTACTGTGTCCCCCCATGCCAACTCCATTTCCAAGATGGAGTTTTATTCAGGGACTCATTCCTTGAGTGCCCAATATGTTGACTTTGCATCCCTTTCTGTTTACCAAGGCAGAATCATAGCAGAGGTGTGTAATAAAGTTGCAAATAGAAGGCAGCCCAAATAATGGAAAAGGACAGATTTTTCAGCCCTTTCTCGGGCTTGTTGATTGAGGTTTTGATGTATGATCAAAGACAGTTCTGAAAAGCAGCCGGTTGCATGGGCTGTAGTTTGTGGCCCTTCCTGAGTGCAAAGAGAAAGAAAGAAAAGGAGCCATGTAAAATGTACACATTCAATTCTTTTTAGAATGACAGCTCCCTCCGTTCAGCTGTTTAATAATCTGGGTTAAGCACATCTAGAGGTGAAATGAAGATATTTTCACTTACAAGTGGGTATTTTCAAACGCGCTAAGTTAACCTTGAGAGAGAAGTGCCTGTGATCTCTGTTCTTGATGACATTTTAAAGTTTTTGCTTCATGACTCTGTAGTCATTTGAAAATACGTCACAGCAAATTAAAGGGAGTTTACAAAGCAACACTGTAGCTTATGCACCATTTTAAAAGTTGCTTAAGATTTAGCTATTGCCAAAGCCAACAACAATAAATAACAAAATAAAAGGAGAACAGATAGGTCAATGTGGCATCACAGGCTTATCTTAGATAAACGAGTGCCATCATTTTATGTAGTTATCAGTAATTCTAGGAGTAAAATATCAAGCAAGCCATTGAAACAGCTGCAAATGTGTCTGTGTTTGTTATTCCATTTGTTTGTTGAGCAGCCATTTTACTCTCACTGTAATGAACTGAAAGGGGAATTAAGATACTGCTCCCCCACCCCGTATTGATATTCAACTACCTCTATATGCTCGATTTCTCTTTAAGATTTTCTTTCCTCCAAATCTGTACAAAAAAGTTTCAGCTCATCTATGTTGTAATAACAATGTGACATAGTCTCTGTGAAAGCTGTTTGTTCATTTAAAAATGTTCCCTATTGTCTCACTTTGTATATAACACACCTCTACCTATACCTTAGGGCAAGAATTACCCAAATACCTTCATCTTGTTGGAAGCCGAATAGAAAGGAAAGCTATTGGAACATTTAACTTGCTCTTGTTCCTGTTAGTTATAATACATTTGACCAGAAGATCTTTCAAGGAACTAGACCTGTACTCAGAGAGCAAGCTCTTACTTAGTATGTGACAATGAAGCAGATGTGAACTGATTAATGTGACTGATGTGTTCTGAAACCCTGGCCATAAATTAATTGTTAAAAAATACACCAGGAAAGCTTGTTATTTAAAGAATTATGTTGAATTGTTTTGCCAATAATCTACCCCTAGTTTATTTGTAAATCCATTCATATACTGGGTTTTCCTAAAGCAGAGCACACAACTGCCTCTGTTTTCTTTGGCATTATAAAATGTTCATGAAAGCAAATCACACATTTTTATTTCAATCAAACCATTTCCCAACAATAGGCTAAATCTAAGGCCCTTAGGGTAAACCTTTTAACAGGAAAATTGGTAAAACTGACTGAGACAGTGAGCTAACTCCAGCAAGAAAGCTTCAGCAACATCTTGGCTTCTTACGGGACCGATTTTTGTCTTGTGCAACTGATGATGTTATACAAGGTCTATCTTACCACTGAAGAAAAAAAGACATGGGAGTGGGAGAATTAAAACATGAAATGATAGAAAACTCCAGTTGGGCCAGACCATGTTCTTTGTAACTGGATCTTTTGGGTAATTGAGAAAAATCAGAGCTCCTGCCCAACTAGGCCCCAGAGGGAATTCTTGGCTCTGTTAGACATTGCCCTTCTGTGCTCAGTCTGCCATACTCTGGCTCTCATGAGATAGAGTGCACTCTGGCCAAAGACACAATCTTCCCTCCAGAGCAGTCCTGCCCAGAATGCTGGCATAACTCTCTGTGGAGAACTGGATTGGGCCATCTAAAAAGAAGGTCTTATTTGCAGTTGTCCCCTAGGCCTTGAGCAAAGCCAAAGCCAACGCTTTCTCCTTCCTCTCCTCTGGGACCCACCCTGGCAAATTTCAGTTCTCCAGGGCCAAAGATGCCTCTTTAGAAGGAAATCCCAAGTCTTAAAATGAGATAAGAGCAAGAGAAGGAAAGAAAAAATGCCCAAGACCCATAGGCTCCCAGATATTTCCCTTCCTCAGTTATGTTCAATTTTGTTACCCCCAGGAGGGGCTGAAGTGGGATGAAAATGGTCTGATGTATTGCTCCCTGATATTGGTTTTTGCCACATAATGCAGAAAATTGCCAGCCAGACTTGACCATGGTCAGCTCATTGTAGAGGCATGCCCTGGTCAAGACAGAAAGTGCAGGCTCCAAGGTGCCCTGCCTCTACATCTCTGAGCCCACTTCCCCCACCCTTTCCAGTTTTCTGTTACTGGTTTTCCCATTTCAACCTATGATCATGTTGTCTGGCTATACATGTTTACTGTGCACTTAAACACATGGATTAGCAAATGTCATTGTTGCATTAAAAAGCCCTGAAAAACACTTTCCTCCACTTACTAAAGTGCTGCTTTCTAAACCCACCAGCAGAACACTGCCTACCTTCCAGTAAGTCAATATCAACAATTTCTGGATGCCACAAGTGCAACAAAATTAAGTTCCAAAATAGCCCACTGACCCTAAGTCCAATTTTGCTCTAAAAATCTTGCTTCTCAACAATGCATCCAATAAGGAGCTAACATCCAAAATATATAAAGAACTTGTACAACTCAACGACAACAACAACAATCCAATTAAAAAATGGGCAGAGGAGCTGAACAGACACTTCTCCCAAGAAGACATACAAACGGCCAACAGATATATGAAAAAAATGCTCAACTTCACTAGGTACTAGGGAAATGCAAATCAAAACCACAATGAGGTATCACCTCATACTTCTTAGAATGGTTATCATCAACAAGACAAATAAAAAGTGCTAGAGAAACTGTGGAGAAAAAGGAACCCTCATACACTGTTGGTGGGAATGTGAACTGGTACAGCCACTATGGAAAACAGTATGAAGGTTCCTCAAAAACTTAAGACTAGAATTACCATATGACCCAGCAATCCCTCTCCTGGGTGTCTATCCCAAAAATCTGAAAACATTTATTCATAAAGATATATGCACCCCTACGTTCACTACAGCATTATTTATGGTGGTCAAGACATGGAAACAACCGAAGTGTCCTTTGATAGATGATTGGATAAAGAAGATGTGATACATACACACAATGGAACATTACTCGGCCATAAGAAAAGATGAAATACTGCCATTTGCGACAACATGGATGGATCTTGAAATTATCACGCTAAGCGAAATAAGTCAGGCAGAAAAAGTCAAGAACCATATGACTTCATTTGTATAATTTTACTAACCAATGCTACCCCAATAAATGTAATTAAAAAAATCTTCTTTTGGATTTTTGAGGTACATTATGGGAATATTCAACACAGTCATGGGAACAGGAGAGATCACTGCCTGCTTGGCCCATCAGGATGCCTATTGCCACTCCTAGCATGCAACTGCATTCTCAGACCTACGTGCTCTTTCTACAAGCCCAAATGAGCACTTTCATCAGAAGACCAGTGCTCAGAGCTGGGGAGAGCATTATGTCTACAAATGAAGTTTAGCCCTTCTGTTTATGCAGTCCACAGGAATAAGTTCCAGCTGGAGGGAGGGAAGAGGGGAACTGGGGAGGGAAGGGCTCTGGAAATGAATAATCATGACAACCGAAGTGGAGACATTTTCGCCTCCTTCTAGGCGGAGCTTCATGTATCCTCTTGCCATAGTGACTGGATTTTATCTTCCATCCAATTGGGAAAACCACTTGTACACACACCAAGACTGCAGTCATGCCTTTAGGCAATAGTCGTGTTCTTACACTCTTAGGCAGCCAAAGGCCCAGCTAATGTCCATCGAGCGTTCACTGTGTGCCAGGCTCTTTTGTAAATGTTCGTTAACATTTAGCTTCCCATGAGCTCCTTACTATAACCTACGAAGTAGATCTCAATTCCCATGTTATAGGTGAGTAAACTGCAGCACAGGGTGGTTTTGTTACTTGCCTATGGTCATGCAGATTAAAACCTAGACAATATGATTCCAGAGTCCACATTCAACAGCTGCTATGAGCCACCCATCCTGCAGTGTCACAGACCCAGGAGAACAATTCAGCTCATAGATGCCCAGTGGGAAACTTCTAGTAACAGTGACAGCAAATGAACAAACAGCAAAAGCAGTTACCATTTACTGAATGTAAACTCTGGGCTGGGTACTGTGTTAAGCATGACATTTCGTCCTGAGGGAGGTGCGATTATTACCCAGCTTTTACAGAGGAGGATGCTGCAGCTCAGACAAATAAAGCAACTTGTGGAAGTCCATGCAGCTAAGAAGCAAGGAGGCTGGGCTTGGCATCCAGGCTGTCTGACCTTCCAGTTGTTATTCTTACTCTGCAATTTAGGCGGCATCTCAGGAAGCCCGCCACTCTTCTCATTTATCAGGCCTTGATTCCTGTATCCTAGTGTATTCTTTCTAATTCTAGTCCCCCAAAGTCTTGCCCATCTTTTGTCTTTGGAACTCTCCTCCATGAGGGCCTCTCTTCCTAATGAGTACAAACTCAGGGACCCCACAATTGTCAACACAGCTTGCCCAGCTCACTTTTCCCGCAACCCAACCCACCTCTGTGGCTGCTTTGAGTATTCTTGTGTCACTGAAAAAAAAAAAGAGTACAGAGTTGAAGATTCAAAAGGTAAAATGTATGAGAACATTCGAATGCTGCAACCCCATAGTTCTAGAGTCATACATCCCAGAGCTGGAAGAGCCCTTAAAAAGTCACCTAGCCCAGCTTCCTGTTTTTGGCTGGTATTGTTCTCTCATTTTTCAGAAAAGAGAACTGTGATTGTACAACAGTGTTCAAGGTCATTCCATGAAGTAGTGACCAATATAGATCCTAATATATTATGCATACTCTGCACACTAGAGGAAGCTTGCAGCAGCCCTTTCTCACCCTGTGAATGTTCTGATGGGGGCGCCTCTTGGAGATGGAACTTTCATTGTAAAGAACAACAACAACAAAAATGTAGGCAACTGCAGCCCATCTGGAAAGGCCCCTTTGGAGATTATTCTCTCTCTGACTCCCCCCACCTTTTCTCTTTAGATTGTTCCTCTGTTCAGGGAGATTTTTTTCTCACACAACCTGCTGCCTGGGAGAAACTTCCACCCCTTCCTCGGAAGTTTGAGTTCAATGGAGCAGGCTGTTTTAGGCTGGGCAGGAAGAGTCCTTGAGAATCATGTCTGCCAGCTCAGGCACCCCTAAACTCCCAATCGTTCAGTTGATCAATGAAGGAGCTGAGATCCATATCCCAGTGAGGAAGAAAATCAGATTTGGGGGTCCTGATCCAGAACAGGCCATCAAGACATGTTCAGCCTTGCTTTTCAAAGGACAGATAATAAAAGTTTTTGTATATCCTCCCCCACTCCAATAGACATTTGTTATCTTGTTTAGTAGGAAGACCATAAGCAAGAGATTTCAGGGTTGGTTCATAGGTCCAATGATCCCATGTGTCTCGTCTGTTTCCATCTTTCCTAAATGTGTTTAAAGTCTCTTATTGAAACAGCTTCACATGGAAAAGGAGGCTTTCAACCTAGTCCTTCCTGCTGGAGGCCAGATGCCTGAAGGGGTGGAGTTCGTTGGCCACCAGCTCTACAAGGTTATAAATTCGCATATGAAGGAATTTTTAAAGTGGAAAAGGCTCTGCTTGGGACAGGTTGTAACATCTTACTGGTTTCCTCATTAATTAATGCGTTGAATCAAGTCTTTGACATGTGTTCAAAAAATAGATAAATAGGAAAAGGGGTCTTCTAATGTTCACGTTGATCTCACGGTTCACACAGGAGGGTGTTCACCCAAGGTGTTTCCACCTATAGAAACTGCTAGGAAAACAGGGGCTCAGCTACAATGGTAATTCTTACTTAGACAAGGCTCTACAAGGTCATTAACTCCTCCAATTCATTCACTTATTAAGGTAACACATATTTACAGGACATATATATGCTAGCATTGGGCTATAGAGAGGAATACAACACTGTCCATGTCCTTGAGAGGCTCACAGCCTAGGGAAGAAAACACAGCGTATTGCAGAGCATGGTGATATCTCAGGAAAGTCACTTAATTTTGCTTGGGAGGTGTTCAGGGAAGGCTCCCTGGAGGAGATAATGCAGGAGCTGAATCCTGAAGGGTGAGAATAGTGGAGAGAGGTTGAAGAACA